GAAGACGCGGCTCAGAGCGTGACGTCAGGTTTCCAAAGTAAACAAATTCCACTTCCGGTCACCGTATAAAACGTGAATTTATCGTTTGGATAAATTGGCTTACACCATCTCGAACCATATCGACCCATATCGACCCATTACAGCCGAAGCAAAATGACAAAACGGGGTTAACGGATTGTTTTGAAGAAAGAAATACCGGTACGAGCGTTTTATTTTGAAAGCAAGCTCCAGCTTCCGGACAGAATTTGTATAACTGACGTTACGTTAGCGAACTGGACCGTTGAACATTACCACCACAGACATATATACGTATATATACGTATATATTTCTATCGGTGGGACCATAAACATATATTTTGTGTACTCTTATTTATTAGAATATGTACTCTCGGAGCGTGAGCTGCACGACCTACGTCAGGTTTCCAAAGTAAACAAATCCCACTTCCGGTCACCGTATAAAACGTGAATTTATCCTTTGGATGAAGCGGCCTACAGCATATCGACCCAAAACAGACATTACGCCAAAAGCAAAATGACAAAACGGGCTTAACGGATTGTTTTGAAGAAAGAAATACAGGTACGAGCGTTTTATTTTGAAAGCAACCTCCAGCTTCCGGCCAAATGTGTCATATTTGATCTGGTTTCTGAAGTCTTTTGGATCTGAGACTCTCTGCATCATTCAGTGGTAAAAGCTTTGCTCAAACCCCTGTTGTACACATTCAGATATACCTGATAACAGCCAGTAGAAGACTACACCAATATTATATATTTTTTTAACTTATTGCACGCTAAAAAAAATTTCTTCATATGTTGTTGAGGGGCCAAAGAAAGACTTCAGACTAAAAAAATCCAATATTTTTCCTATTTTTCTTGGATCAGGTTTTAAACGGCTAATGTCTTTAAACTAAAATGAACAGAGTGGAACTTTTATGACCATCAGATCACCATAAGAACAATTCAAAAGATTCAGCAAAGTTAGAAGAACCCAGATTTCCTCTTTTAGGAAAAACTAAAAAGGTGGAGGAAGTATTGGGCAATGAAAAGAAAAAAGGAAAGAGGGAGGAGTGAAACCCCTGAAACAGGAGGAGCCTCCAGACTCATCTGTCCTGTCGCCTTTCTTGTTTTTCCACTCTGGTTAGTGAAAGTAGTTCCTCTCGGTGGAAGCAGGGCCGTTCACAGAGAACTGTCAATAACTGGACAATAATCCCAGAGAGGAAAATGGACCTGGGAAACAGGCAGAACGGGGAGGCTGTAGCTCTGAACAAACTGGACGACCCGGAGGTAAGAAACAGACTCTCCAATTATCTGCTCCTCAGAGCCAAAGGCTAAATGTTCATACCTGTGTTTGAGAACAGGTTACATATCATCTCCACTCTTAAGGATGGAACTAAGCCAAGAAATGCTGGGGTGTGTTTCAGAACAGTCACATAACGTAATTTATT